GTGGCGTGGCGTGACGTAGCGTGGCATTTGGCTCCAAGCGTCGTGGCGTGGCGCGCGCGTTTCAAATCAAATTGAGCGCCAGCCAAGACGGGGGTGGGATCATCACGCTTATTGCCTTTCTCACCGCTTCGCTCCGCCCCCCCCCCCCCCCCTTTGCGCTCACCGCTGCTCCCCCTCACTACTCTCCGGCCTCTGCTCGCCATTTCTCGCTCTTCTTCGCAGCCAGTTATCTCTTTCGTCGCCACGCGCTCTCCGCGAACACAAACACAACACTTAACTGAAAAACAACAACAACAATAAAACAACGAAAAAAAACACAATTATTTTCTCCCTCTCATAATCAATAATTATTATTTTTGCTTGTTCGGATATATATCTTATCTGTGCCCCTTGATCTCCGCCTCCCGCCTCCTCGGTCGCGGACGCGGCGGCTTATGCCTTCTTCTACTTTTGCTCCCGCGCTCGCACGGATTGGCTGCCTTCCTTTAATTGGAATACTTCTCGGCGAGATGGGAGGCCAGGGGGCCGATGCGACGTGGCGCGGGATTAATCCCCGACTGTGCAGCCCGGCCCGGTCCTCCCCTTCCTCCGCGGTCCCCTCCCGCGGGAGGCGCCCCTCTCACAATGGCGTGCTGCCCACAATGCTGCGCCGGCTGGCCCGCGGCTGGCCCATCAGGCTGGCAGACGCTCGGAGCGGCCTAGAGCGGCCTGGAGCGGTCCCGCCGGTATCGGCCGGGTGTATCGAACTGCTTCTTGGGGCGACTGGGAAGGCTCCAGTTTAGATCGAGTCCCCCCGTCCACCACCGATCCCCCCACCCTGCCAGGCCCCGCACCTTCTTATCCACCGCAGGACCGCTCCCCGAGCCACCCCCCTGGCCTCCGGACCCTCCTTCGTTTATTTATCTCTCAAGAGTTTCCCGCTGACTGTCGGGGGTCCTGCACTCTCTGCCCCTAGTCCCGCCCCCTTCTCTCTCTCTCTCTCTGTCAACCTCCCCCGCCCCCTCCTGGCCCTGGCCTGCGGTGCATGTTCGGTTTCAGTCCGACCCACGTGAGTGCAAAGTATCCAGGACCAAAGTTTACGTGGTGGCGGTGGTGGCTCGGTGAGGGTCGTGGCCGTGGCTGGGAACTCGGCCTGGAGTTTCCCCCCTCGTCCTCTCCCTCCCTTATATTTTTCGTTCGGGAAGATATCTTGGTCATGATCGTATTATTACAAGCAACACCCACAAATATAATAAAATAACAAGAATGGAAACGTTGTGAAGAATGTAAGTGTTCTTCATGACGAGCTGAGTGTAATGCTCTGGTAATCCAAGTGTACGAATGCTAAACACCTGTAGGTGTGTGAAAAAAAATCACATGCTTGTAGGTGTGCGACAAAATATTCACACACTTGTAGGTGAGCGAATCGGTATTAATTTTTTCACGCCTCACGACCCAATTATCATTTCCCTTTGCCAGACCCGGCGGCAGGAGCAGGGTGGCCAGGGTGAGCAGTAGTTGGGATGCTCAGAGGTGCTGCGGCGCGGTAGCGACTGTGAGCCAGCCTGCGACTGACGGCCAGCCTCGGCCTCGGCAGCTGACCTGAGCTGACCCGGGGCAATACACATCTGGCACTTGTGTCATGATATCTTCAGTCCCTACCTCATCGCATATCAAAGCTACCGCGATAAAAACTGTTGCACTTTTAAGCAGTTTCTTTTTTATTGTCATAGGGACAGTAATACTTAATGGGACTTAGCAGTATTTTCTTGACTATTTATTTTGTAGTCTCTCGCACATTTCAGTTCGTCGCTAATATTATGGGATTGCCTACTTGAACAACGCTACACTGTAAAACTATTGCTCTTTTTTGGGTCATACCAAATTATTACTTATTTTGGTTTAGCGTATATGATAGAAAAAAGGAGCCAAGAATGAGAAAGAAAAAAAGGAAGCAGGGGG